CTCCCAGTGACAAGATACCCCGATGGAGCTATATCTTCCTACACTTTGTATGTGCACTCATGGTTGGTGATACTTCCGACAGGTGTCCTCCACACATACATGTTATGTTGTGGAATTTCATGTTGTTGGATAAACCGGGTAGGCCGAAGCTTGTAGGTTTGTGGAGAAAGGCAGCTCGGCCAGTGAGGGCCGAGATGGGAAAGTCTTGTATTAGAGGGAAGGGGAAGGGCAGAGAGCACTCGAGGCCGAGCAGCCAAAGAGTGTGTCACCACANCGACCCAAAACGTGGATCCCACTCCTCCATGACAAAAACAAGAAGTCGATTATGCAAAAGTTCCTGAACCCATAACGTCTTGTCCCATCGCCTTCATTCTTCTCTGCAAAACGCTCTTTTGCTGGTCCATCCTTCCTCAGCACTTAGCCCCAAAGACACCCGCAACGTACTTATGTCCCTCGCACAACTGAAAGCCTTAAACAATCCATCGAGTCAAACCTGTCTGTGGAACTCCTCTTCATTTTCTTTCCAAAACACGCATCAATTCGTAGAAAATCGCCTCCTCTGTTGTGCATCCGACTACGTTCATCCGACTACGAATCCTACCAAAAATACGCAAACTTTCGGACACAAACCAAAGTATACGTTTCATGCCCACTTCGCAGATAAAACGCTTCTGGGCATGGTACCAATCCTCTACTCTACACTTCCGATCAAATAACATCCATCCCCAAACATTCGTTCAGCGTTGAGATCATTTGAGCAGAACATACGCGAGCGAGTATTTTCCTTACTGTTTCTCCCTAGTAACTTGGCACCAGCTACAGCAGTGAGTTCCTTCCGAAAGAACAACGTGCCCCCCTGCTCTGGGAGATCCGCCCCCCTGATTTGGGTTGGAGTCAGAACCATAGAACAAAAGAACAACATTCAAAATTCATCCAGTCGAAACTCAAGAAAAACAAACCTGCTACAAATAAATCCCGACGAAACACCAAAAACAAATCAAATCCAATGCCAAAACAACGTTCACAACCCAAATGCTAGAAATCAATTCAACACCAAGACCAAAATCCAACCCAACCAACACAATCCAATAGCAACACAATAACACTCGAACCCCTATATTTGCCGGCGCATCAAGCTCCAGCGCTTAACCCATTGCCCAAGCCATTGTTTCTCCCCCCCCCAGCGGATATTTCGCACGCCTTCGCCGCGGTCGCCTATCTCCTTTCATATTTTCCGGCTGGCCGCGGCTCGAGCTTGGATGTTTGCGT